AGATAATAAAAAAAAAAAAAAGGCTGGGAAAGTTGAGGAATGCGACAGTTAATTGGAAAGAGGTGAATGTCATGATTGGGTACAAAGGGAGCATCCCCAAAAGGCTCAGTCATTCACAAGCAAGGCGAGGTTCACTGCATGAGTAAATAGTCTGACAGTTCAACACCGTTTCTCAATTGTAAGGACGTGCAGTTGTGAACATATCAAAGAGTAAAACTGACCCAAGGGTTTCTGTCATTTTGTTTATTTTTACAGACCTTGAAGGTAGAACCTTACCACGACAGTTTCCTGGCTCGTTACCTAATCCAAAGAGCTCTGCGGGTGAGTAATTAAAACTTTATTGTTCACTAATTACAGAGCAAGCAGTATTAGCTTTATACAAGAGTGAAAGTGTGTAGTTTGCACACTGTGCATTTTAAAACATAAAATTAGACATTTTAAATTAATCCTTAAGATATTATTCTACACTCACCGGCCACTTTATTAGGTACACCTTGCTAGTACCGAGTTGGACCCTCCTTTGCCTTCAGAACTGCCTTAATCCTTCACGGCATGGATCCAACAAGGTACTGGAAACATTCCTCAGAGAGTCTGGTCCATATTGACATGATAGCTTCACACAGTTGCTGCAGATTTGTTCCACCTCATCCCAAAGGTCTCTATTGATGAGATCTGGTGACTGTGGAGCCATTCCAGTACAGTGAACTCATTGTTGTGTTCAAGAAACCAGTCTGAGATGATTCATGCTTTATGACATGGAGCGTTATGCTGCTGGAAGTAGCCATCAGAAGACGGTACACTGTGGTCATAAAGGGATGGACATGGTCAGAAGATGGTACACTGTTGTCAAAAAGGGGTGGACATGGTCAGATGATGGTACACTGTGGTCATAAAGGGATGGACATGGTCAGCAACAAAACTCAGGTAGACTATGGCATTGGCACGATGCTCAGTTGGTACTAATGGGTCCAAAGTGTGCCAGGAAAATATCCCCCACACCATTGGATGACCACCACCACCCTGAACCATTGACACAAGGCAGGGTGGATCCATGCTTTCATRTTGWTGAYRCCAAATTCTGACCCTACCATCTGAATGTTTCAGCAGAAATCCAGACTCATCAGACCAGGTGACGTTTTTCCAGTCTTTATTGTCCAGTTTTGGTGAGCCTGTGTGAATTGTAGCCTCAGTTTCATGTTCTTAGCTGACAGGAGGCACCTGGTGTGGTCTTCTGCTGCTGCAGTCCATCTGTCTCAAGGTTCAACGTGTTGTGTGTTCAGAGATGCTCTTCTGCAGACCTCGGTTGTAACGAGTGGTTATCTGAGTTACTGTTGTCGTTGTATCAGTTCCGACCAGTCTGGCCATTCTCCTCTGACCTCTGGCATCAACAAGGCATTTCAGCCCACAGACCTGCCTCTCACTGGATACTTTCTCTTTTTTTGGACCATTTTCTGTAAACCCTAGAGATGGTTGTGGGTGAAAATCCCAGTAGATCAGCAGTTTCTGAACAAACAAACAAACAAACAAACAAACAAACAAACAAACAAACAAACAAACAAACAAACAAACAAACAGTTTTACATTGAATAAGTTTCTGATTCTTTTTTGTTTAACTAGGCATGGATCAGAAATGTTTTGATTATTACAGTTTTACAGTTTTTAGTGTGAGCTTTGTTTAGTTTCTTTGTTTTATGTATTTTCTTGCACAATCAATTAAAAAAACAAAAATGTTCAGCCCTCCAACATAACTAAAGACCCTCTCTGTGGGTTGCAGTCACACCTGTGTTTGTAAACTGATCTCTGTTCCGTTGCAGAGCAAGAGAATTGGACACTTCTTCTTCTGGTACGTCCGCAGTGAGGTGGCAGGGTGCCCGTATTTTCGCCAGCGCATGGCTCTGATTTTGGAGGCCTTCCTGCTGGGATGTGGTCAGGCCATGATTGACAGCTTCACCCAGCAGGTGCAGGCTGTGGAGGCCCTGGAGGAAGTGGCTAAAAACATCAAGAGACTCTACCCTGAGAAAACTGATCTGMCTTCTGCAGGTGAGCAAAACTCCTCAGGTACGCTGAAAAACTGTAATCCTTTTTATGTCTTGATAAGGATTTAAATTCAGCAGTGGTCTGGCACTGCAGGTTTCCCTGCTCCAAACGACCTGATTTAGTGAACAAGTTACCTCTWTAAGTTCTGCAGAAGCCTGTGAACCACCCATTCATTCAAACCAAGKGCATTGAAGTAGAGAAACAAGTAAAATGAGGACCAGGATTGCTACATCACATTTGTTTTTAAAATTTTAAAGGGGACGTATCATGCAAAATCCAACTTTTTAGCCATTAAATGCATTTTGTTCTGTACTTGGARTCTCTGTTGTTGTCATCTTTTAATCAATTTATAAATATAAATAAAAAAGTTTCTAGATAATTGTATCTCTGCTGTCAAACTACAAACATGGCCAAACGGGGTGGAAGGGGGCGACGTGTAAAGTGCCTCATTTGTATTTAAAGAGACAGCACCAAAATGAGTAGCTCTCAGACGCACCTCAGAACAGAGGTGAACAAGGCGCATGTGGAGCTGCAATAACCAGGAAATCAGATCAAAGCTTTGCAGTTCCACTTTATATAAAGCTTAACTGAATGATTTAAATGTGAAAAGGAAGAATTTAAMAGCATATGTCACCTTTTAAACATRTGAATTCATCCTGYTAAGTGTCTGTATTCAAGCAGCTGCAACATGTGTTCACGTGGTGGAGGACAGTTGTTCATTTTACACTTGTGAATGTTTCTATTTATAAAAGACATCAAAATCTCATTTACATTTTACTTGTGCAAAATCAAGAAAAAGTCATTCAAAAATAAAACGGTGCTTCCCATCTGCTCCAATAAATCAATTTATAAATTAAATTTTTGTTTTGTAAAACTCAGAAAAAAATCCATCCATTGAATAAACTAATCTCGTTAAATTTCCCTTGACTGTGCATTTTTTAGCTCCCCTCAAGCTGCAGGAGCTCTTACGAAGAAGTAATCTGCCAAATGAGTTCCTGCTGCCCTTTGACCCTCGCATCAAAGTGGGAAGAATCTTGGTAAGTCAGTGGGTTTTACAAATGAGTCATGATGTTGTACATATGGTGTACATAACTACAATATTTACAAACTGTGGCTTTTGTTTTACATTACATTTGATTTTGAAGGTATATATTTTTTTGTATTTAGGTATTTTGACTTGAAAAACGTGTAATACTTGATTTAATACAGTTCAGGTAATCTTCTGTTAACATTTAAGCAGAAGCTGATTCGTTCTTTTAAAAATCTTTTTCTGGTCCAGCTGGACAAATGTAAGGTGATGGCCTCCAAGAAAAAACCTCTGTGGCTGGAATTTTCCGCCATGCCGTCGCCCACCTCCACCACACCTGTCGGGATCATCTTTAAAGAGGGGGACGACCTCAGACAGGACATGCTGGTCATTCAGGTCACAGATTAAATCATTTTGACAACTTAAATTTAAAACAAAGTTTTGAGTGAAGCCATGCTTAAGGTTTTAAAGTTTCTCTTTAGACTTTGGTGGTGATGGACTCGATCTGGCAAGAGAAATCTCTGGACCTCAATCTTATCCCWTATGGTTGCATCTCCACAGGGCAGAACATAGGTACTATGGTTCAACTCATTTAAATACTGATTATTACTACTAATTTATGCTAATTAAGTAAAAAATGTATAACATACTGGTAGTGAAACATAATACAGGCTAGTACACACCTGATGCTTAGAGGGTACAGCACCACCAAGTACATAAGTAATTGTTACTTACCAGGAAAGTACCAGGTAAATACCCAGAACATGCAAGGTAAGTGCACTATCTGGTACATATCAGGTATGTGCCAAATAAGTACATGTTAAATACTTGACAAATACTCATTACACGCCAGACAATAACCAAGAAAGCACCAAGTAAATTATAGGTACTACCTGGAACTTTCCTGTAAGTACCCCATGCACATACCATGTATGTACTGGGTATTTACCTATGTACATACTAGGTAAGTACCAGATGCATGCACCCAGGCTGAAAAATAGTTTTTAGTTTACAAAAATGAGCAACAAGCTGAATCTAAACTGGCCTTGGTTTATATATATATATAT